ATATGCTCAGGCACCCACATTTCCACCCTCCCAGTGCATCGCAGGGCCAGGCTTATTTATTTCTTAGGAATAAAATCAACATTATTTTCACATCAGATTATTGAACAATGTTATCACTGGATTTTTGCAGAAGAAGTTTGATTAATGAGGATGTGTGGGAACCGGATGCTTTGGTTCTTTGAATTTTCTGATTAAGGAACCACCAGAACACTAGGTTTGCTCACCAGATGGGACGTATTGAGTGCCTGCTGCAAGCACTTTCCTGTGTGTGTGTGTACGTTGGAGGGGAGGGCGGTAAGAACAAGCCCAGCCCTGGGGGGGTGGGGTGAGGATGGGGGGCTGCCTCGGGCCTGCCCTGGACAAGGACCATGGCACAGTCCTGACTGCCACTGGGAGGGCTGCACCTGGCTGAGCTCAGGACACACCTGGAGGCTCCCTGTCTGGAGGCTACTTTGAAAACGACTCTTGGCGTGCAGTGAGTTTGCTCGTCACCTGCCCGGGTGGCTGGCACAAAGAGCAGAGCTTCCAGACCAGACACACCAGGGTTTGGCCCCAGCCCTCTACTGACTGGTCCTGCATTTACCTTGGGGAAGGTGCCGGTCTCAGTTCAACATCTAAAATGGAATCTCTGCTGTCTGACAGGGCTGTGGTGAGGACAAGAAATGAAGGGGTTGACATTTTGCGTTGTGTCCTGGACAGAGTGGCCATTCAGTAAGTGGCAGTTACAACTATTAGTTTCTTAAGGGAAGATAAACTCAGAAAAATTTGAGTTGCGATCCAGTTAACTGGTTTCACTGACAATTTTATTTAAAAGTGCATTTTAGGGGGACAGTTTCAGCCTTTTCCCCAAATATTAAGCTGCCTTTAAGAAATAACCATTTGCTCTTGTCCCCTGCAGTCATCCATTTCAGATCACAAAACAGCAGCAGCAAGTGGCGTTTCAGGGCACAGATTTGGGGCCAGCCTCTAAGTTTGTATCTTGGTTCTACCTCTTAGTGGCCACATGAAACTTGACTAAGTTATTTAACTTAACCTCTTTGTGCCTCATTTTGTTCATATGTAAATGGGGATAATAATACTTTGTAAACATTAAATAAGTTCATAGATAGGTAAAGGCATATTGTAAGGGCTGTATAATGTTAGTAATATTGCTACTATATATAAATACTCTAATTGTGGACAAGCTGTAGTTCTCGTTAACAAGAGATAGGAAAGCCTCCAGACAGAGCTTAGGATCCAGGCCTATCCTTGCCCCCTGAGGTGGCTCTGGGTAAGTCACAGGTTCTCAGGGGACCCTGGTTCCCATTCTGCAGATGCACCTTATCCCTGCTCAACCCTTTGCAGAGATACACTCCAGGCCACCAGAGATGAACAAATATTTGCTAACAGTCCATCGGTTTTCAGGAAGAAGAAACTCAAATTCTGAGTGGGTTGGGGACTCATCTACAGCCCCAACAGCACCGGGAGTGGATGGCAGGTGGAGACAATGATGCTCCCCTACTGTTTCTGTCTGGGCCATTCCTTAAGCCCTGTCTCCCCTCTTTAGCGCACCTCCGCCAGCCTGAGTGACCTTTGGGAAGAGCTAAGTACACAGCAGAGGCCAGGTGGGAATGCACTGCCAGGCGACCTCAGACTCTGGCATCTGAGCATCAGCTGTGTCTGGGCTGAAGACCTGGGTGGCCTGAGGCCACTGAGCTGGAGGTGAGGGGGGAAACGTGGGCTCCTCACCCTGTCCCCACGTGGCCTGTGTTCCAGACACTGACGCTGCAGGTTCCTCCCTGACAGGAGGCACCACCGGCCTGGTGCGAGTCTGTGCCTTGCCTGCGCCGAGGCCTTGGGGGGCACACCGAAGGGAAACAGGCCGCAGATGGGGAGGAAGGACTCAGGAGGGGCAGCCTGTGCCACATGAGGGGGCACGGCTGGAAATCAGCCTGGCATGGGTCTGAGAGGCCCGGGGTGCACAGCAGCCTCAGCTCATCCTACTGGGTGAGGGGCTCTCCCCTCTGGATCTTTTGAGTTTCAACAAGTCCAGCAGTCACCAGGATCGCCAGTGGGTCTTCTCAGCCGTAGGACTTAAAGCCAAGAATGCTTAGCCGTCTCTCGGTTTCTGCAGACGATAAGCTCCTTACTGAAGAGGACCCTTAAGGAGACAGCGAGAAAATAAGTAACTCGCTCTTCACAGTGCCCCTCCCAGATGGCACCGCATCACACTTGGTGGCAGCGACGTCTGTGTGTGTCTCCTCCTCTAATCCTGGTTGTCACAGGCAGGGTCCCTGCTTTACTCACCTGGCAGGTGGTGGCCTACACGAACTTACACAGAAGTGACCGTCAGGCCAGCTCTAGAGATGGGTTTGATTTTGCCTGCAGTGTAAGGAATTTAAAAAATTTTTTTTAGGGTTGAGTAAGTATTTATTGAATGAATACATTTTAGTAATATTTGAAAGAATAATTGTATTAGTGAAATGAGGCTAAAGATGCTTCGAAATGTTTTCTTTTCGCTGATTGACAACTAATCGATCATTTGATTGGTAACTTTCATATTGCACCCTAAAATAAGACAGATACTCTGTCAGCAAGGAGACAGCAGACTAGCTTCATTTTTTATCTGTTAAGCTCTTGAAAAAGAAAGCAAACCAAACCATTTTTAAATTTAAGAAACAGAGACACTGTTGGTGCTCATTATACCAACACACTTTTCAATATTCAGAACTATCCCGTAAAGTAAGTTAGTAGTATCCCCTTTTCACAGGTGACGGAACCAAGGCTCTGAGATTACCTAAAATGAGCAAGACCACATATTTAGTAGGAGGTGCACCGGGGTTAGAATCCAGATCTTACTTCAAAGTCCATGGTTTAAAAAAAAAAAAAAAAAAATTCTTCTGTTATAAAAATCTCCAGCTTCTTCAGACAATTGTGAAGAAGAGGCAGTAAGGCCCATGTTCTGCCAGGTGACATCTGCTAACACTCAGGAGTGGCTGTTCCTAGACAGGATGCCCCTCTACATGTCTGTCACAGCCTCTCCTCTCACACCTGAGCCACATCTGCTCCACTCACGGATCGTACCAACATGGCCCCATAGGCAGTTGAGTTCGAATCTCCTGTTGGATTTAGGTGTAATGGAAGCAGAGGTCTCCATCAACCCCACCAAAGAAAGCTTTCAATACATGCTTGCTGGAGGCGACATGGGGGCTTGCCAGGCAGATGGCACGCACTGTATAGTAAGGCCCCCTGAAGGCGGATCTGTATAGCCCAGCTGACCCACGGATAGCCAGCAGCGGTGGTGTGGCTAATCTGGTCTTCCCTTGCTGAAGGCAGCTGGCTGTGTGCTGTTTGTGCAAGAACAAGGGGGACACGTGGACAACTGGCTTTGTTGAACCCGTCCAGCATCAAGGAAAACTCTCTGGCTTCGCCCATTCAATTACTCTCATCATTACCACCAGGAAACTGACCAAACAGCCGGCAACAAAAACAAAGGGACGAAGGTGGCAAGGAGGGCGGCATTCCAGGCCCAAAACCACTGAGGAAGGGCCTGAGCTGGGGTGGGCCAGGAGATACAGCTGGAGAGACGGCGGCTGCCAGGCTGAGGCAGTGAGCTGTGAGAAACCGACAAGTGAGGATGTCAGTGGATGGCTTGGCATGTCGTTGTGGTGAAGTGCCGTTGCATCGGTTCCGACTCGTAGCGACACTATAGGACGGAGCAGAACTGCCCCATAGGGTTTCCAAGGATTGGCCGGTGGATTTGAACTGCCAGTCTTTTGGTTAGCAGCCTAGCTCTTAACCACTACGCCACCAGGGTTCCTTGTTGTTAGGTGCCAGCAATTCCAACTCCTGGTGACCCCAGGTGTGCAGAGTAGAACTGCTCCATAGGGTTTTCGTCAAGGCTATGACCTTTTGGAAGCAGATCACCAGGCCTTTCTTCCAAGGCACTTCTGGGTGGGTTCAAACCGCCAACCTTTCAGCTAGTAGTCAAGGACTCCTTGAGAAGGTTAATTCATTCCAATGCTAAACATCACTCGTGTTGGGAGAACCTCCCAAGATGCAGAAACACCATCTCCCACCCTGATTTTTAATGTGGGTATTAGTTCCTAAAAAAAGAACTCCAGAGTAGAGGTTCTCAAACTGTCTTAAAGATGCTTCCAGAATGTCATTACAGATAGTCCCTGATTTATGATGTATTCAAGTTATGACAAACTGCACTTATGACTGTCTCTTTTTATTTTTTAAAAGACTTCTTTTTATTGTGGTAAAAGTGTATGTAATAAAGTATTTGCCAATTCAACAAGGTTTTTTTTTCCTTTAAACAACAAAAGCTGAATCTATTTGTTGGCCAGGGAACACGCACTGTGAAGAAATTCACTCAGTAGTTCTCTAAGAAAAGAAATGTTTCATTCAAACCCACTGCTGTAGGTCGATTCTGACTCACAGCCAGCCTACAGGACAGAGGAGAACTGCCTCATAGGGTGGTTTTTTTTTGTACATCTTATCATTAGTCATATATTGCAGCATGTAATTTGCTAATGTTATCATTCTAAGATGTTTACTTGTAGATGTTCAATTTTATGATTTACTGTTCAAAACACTGCCAGATTTATAAAGATACTGATAATAAAAGGCAATATTCATGAAATCTAAAAAAAAAGAGGTATTTGATTTACGTCAGAACCGACTTACGATGGAGTCGTCAGAATGGAACCCCACGGAACCCTGTTGTTAAGGGACTACCTGTATACAAAACCAGTTCGGTGGAGTTGCTCTGGGGGTGGGGGTGGGGGTGAGGGCAGAAGGCCCCGCTCCAGCCTCAGCTCCCTCCTCATGGAACGCCAGGGAACACAGTTCAAAAACTACTCATCTTGAGTACAATTAAGAAAAGCCACCCCAAGAGATAGCTCCTTTCGCCTAAGAGGCCAGGTGCTCCTAGAGAGACGAACAGTTCCAGTTCCTGTTGCCACATTTGTAACTATTTATTGAATGAGGCAGTCATAGACAGAATGGAGAACAACACAGAATCCATGCTCTGCTACTGGGGTTTCGCTTTCTTCTTCTTGGCAACTTCCCACATTAGTTGTAGGCTATTTCACCACAAAGGAACGTGGACTTTAAAGCCCTTGGGTAGCTTCACAATGATAAAAAATAATTAAAAAAATAACAAATTGTAGACCTAGGATGTTTATATGTAAATTTCCCTTCCCTCCCCACCATTATGTACAGAAAAAAAATACAAAGAACATTGGATAGTTTTATATAAAACAAGCAAATACAAGAATCTGAAACTTTCTCAAAGGCTGAGCAAGACATGAAGAATCTTTTAATGTCGCATTACAAAAACACATTAAATACACTATCACACACGCAGGAGACCCGGAAGGGGAAGGAGCAGAGATGTGGCCTGTACAGAAGGTGGGTGAAGCCGGCCACTGGGGCTCAGGGCTTGCGGGGGAGAAATAGCAGAACTGAACTGAAAAAGCACGCCCGGACTAACCAGCACCTGTGAGAAGGAAAGCTGGCAGGGCTGGGGCCCCCCAGGATGCACCCAGAAACACGTCTACAAATCTGCAGTCCCTTCTGAAGCAGGACCTGACCCGGGGGGCTGGAAGGACACCCTCAGTCTTGGTCTCTTCCAATACAACACCCTCAAGACGCTGCCTGATGCGTGCCAGGGATATCTGGTGCCAGGGATATCTGCGGCTCCAGAGCCGCCTTTGTTCCGCTACAGAAAGTTACAGGAAAGGACAAAACTGCTCCACTGGTGTATACTGGTCTATGAAGACTTCTGTCTCCCACCTTCCGGCCCCTCCCAACTCTCTCACCCCCACACGCACCCACAAACACACACTCACACACTACTCAAACCCTTAATACTTCTGTCACCTTCAGTTCATATGCACAACCAATTCAGGACTGACCTCAAAACCAGAGCAACATTTTAATAGTCATGAGACCTAGAAGGTTTCCTGGGAACAGGAAAAGATGGGAGGCTGAGAAAAAACCTCTTGTCCCTGCCTGGGGGCTTCAAGGACAAGGTCAGCACCTGGGCCAGCCCGAGGAGCGTCTGGGCTGCCAGACCACGTGGCCTCTGGACCCTGCACGTGCATTTTCTGGACCCCATCCGGTTCTGGAACCTCAGTCCTCAGGTGAGCCCAACAGGGAGAGTTCTGGGCAGCCACTGGGAGGCAGCTTTGGTGAAGGGCATGGTCGCCCCCGCCTGAGGTTGTCAGTAGCTCATCGCATGACCCTGGTATGAACAAGAACCAGGTGGCTGTGTCTGGCCTCGTACCTACCACCCACTAAACTGGGTGAATTCTTCTTCCCACAGCTCACCTTCATTTCATACAGATAATTCCATGCGGGTTTCATATATATATACATATATATATATGTAAATGTGTATGTCCATATGTACACATATACATATATTCACACTCACACATACACACACATAAGTATACACACACGTTTCCGCAGAAAGAAGTCCTGCCACAATTTGGCTTTTTCGGGACAGTGAAACGGAGTACACAGTATCTTACTCCACCGATCCCAGAAAATTAAGAGTGGTGCTTAAAAAAATGCAATCCCAAAATCCGCTGTCTTTCTTCCTTTTTAAAAAAAGGGTTAACAAAACTTTTCTTCCAAAGTCGAGAGACTTAATTCCATTTGATTGCACCTCTGCAGACGTGTAAAAAATTGTGAAGTAGACTAGAAAACGATGCCATGATGTGGTTACATGTCACTGTTCCAATGTCACCACCTCCACGGCCTGGCCATCCATGGTGACTGCGCTGTCCGATATCCTGGTGGTCACAGGGGCCATGGCCACTTGCACGGGCCCATTGCCCTGGGCGAGGCTGGTCACCACGGTCTGGTACATGCTCACAGGGATCTGGACCAGTCCTGGGGAGACAAAGGGAGATCGTTGGTGGGGTTGTGCTCAGGGCCCAGATGTTCCAGCCCTGCAGGGACCACTGTCTGCCAGCCCCAGGCCACCATACACCCACTGTCCAGGCACAAACGAATCTTTTTTCTCACCTCATTTTAACTGACTCAAACAGAATATTACAAAAGGTTTGGGGAAATTGTGAAATATGCCTTAGGGTAGGGCCTCCCCAGTTTGCCAAGAGGTAACCCTGCCTGCCTGCCTTGCCATGAGGGGTAGAGGCCTATCACGGTGCCTTCCTTGTTCCCCAAACCCACGCCCTCTGAGCGCCTCTGTCCTCTCAGACAGGTCGCCATGAATCTGTCTCTGATATTCTGCTGCACTGCCTTCCTCGACCTTCCTTCTGACTATGCTCATGCTTCTCTCAGCTTGAAAAGAAAACTTGTCTCTCCCCTCAACCCTGTCCTGTTCTCTGCCCCATCTGTGTCCCCCCAGAGTCAAACTTATTACAAAAGAGGTCACTGGTTACCTTATTTTTAGACTTCACAGAGCAGTAAAATTTAAAAATACATTTTTGTATCAAATTAAAAAAAAAAAAAAAGAAGACTCCAGCCGCCTCCTAATATCACTATTATTTGACAACAGACCAAAAAAAACCAAACCCACTGCCATAGAGTCAATTCCGACTCATAGCAACAACAGAAAGGATGGTTTAATACCAATAATGAAAGCAGCACATTATCTCAGAAAAGGGCAGTCCTCCCTAGGAAAGGAAAAGTGGGTAACTTTATATGACATATTACAAAAAAAAAACAAGGCAGAATAAATGCACATATCTATCTCTTCTCCTGAAACTAAAATTATAGTAAATGGGTGGGTGGGGGGGAAGGATATAAATGAGGGATGCCAACATAGTTTTGGAAGATGCAAAACAATGTAAAGCGGTTCTGCCTTGGCAGAGGGGTGGAAGCTGTAAGTTCTGTGCTCAGAGGGGGCACGTGAAGAGGAGCGAGCAACTCAGGCCAGAGCCCTGTAGGCTTGGGACCCGGAAGTCGAGCTGTGGCAGAAACGGGGTGAGGCTGAAACAGGAATGAGTTGAAAGTCTGTACTCAAATGATTGGGTTAGTAGGTACCCTAACACCAACACCCAGACCTGTGTCCCCATGATGTCTGAGATTCATTCACTGTACTGAGAAACTGACCTGCAGAGATTCAAGAAGCCCTATAGCTGGGAACATCTGGAAGAGAGGGAGGTGGGTAGGGGCCCTGAAGCCGACAGGTCAGCCAGCTCTGGCCCCGCCCACCCCACTACCTCCAACCCACATTCCAGTGTGTCACTCGTAAGGAACACAGAGGTAGCAGAGATGGTGTGAGGAGAAGAAAATAAAAACAAAGTGCCCTGAAAACTCTAATATCCTTAAAGACACAAGAGAAGATGGGATATTGTAAAAAAAGAATACGGGAAATTTTAAAAAGAGCTCTTCAAAATTAAAAAATCTCATTGATGGTCTAAGATACAACTGTTAGTCTCTACTCGTCCAGAACAAAAGAAAAAGAAGGAAACCAAAGTCTTAAAGAAGAAACTAGTCTACAGGACTATTACATGAACCGTGGCCTCATCTACCTTGAGACCAGAAGAACTACATGGTGCCAGCTACCACTACCCACTGTTCTGATCAGGGCCATTATAGATGGATTCTGATAGAATGGGAGAAAAATGTTGAACAGAACCTCAAATTCTTAAAAAATCCAGTCTTACTGGACCAGTTGAGACTGGAGGGCTCCCCAAGACTATTGCCCAGAGATACTCTTTAAACCTTAAACTGAAACAAGCCCCTGAGGTCACCTTTTGGCAAAATAACAGATTGGCTCACAAAATAAAGAATATCACCTGTGAGTACTGTGCTCCTTTAAAAAACCATCTCTATGAGACCAAACAGTCAGCAATTACTTTAAAACAAAGACGAGAAAGTAAACAGACAGGGAAACTAGATTAACGGCAATGGAACAACCAGAATGGAAATAATGAGTATGCTCACACATTGTGAAGAACAAATGTCACTGAACAATTTGTGTAGAAATTGTTGAATGGGAAACTAAACTGCTATGTAAACCACCAAAAACACAATAAAATATTATTAAAAAAATCTAATAGATGAAATAAAATCAGAAGAAGGATCAGAAGATAAAATCAAATAAATCTTCCAGTGAGTAGAACAGAAAACATTAAAAGATGGAAAGCAGGGGAGAAAATATGAGACTTAAAAATAATCCAAGTACATTTCACCAAAGACATTCAGGTGGCTAACAGACACAGGAGGAAATGCTCGCAATCATCAGCCATTAGAGAAATGCAAATCAAAACTACAATGAGATACCATCTCACCCTGACATTACCGGCACTAATCAAAAAAACCAGAAAATAACGAGTGTTGGAAAGGCTGAGGGGACACTGGAACTCTTATGCACTGCTGGTGGGAATGCAAAATGGTATAACCACTTTGGGTAACGATATGGTGCTTCCTTAATACCACACAATCCAGCAATTCCACTCCTAGGAATATATCGCAGAGAAATAAGAGCTGTCACACGAATAGACATATGCATATCCATGTTCAATGAAGCATTATTCACAATAGCAAAATGATGGAAACAACCTAAGTGCCCATCAACAGATGAATGGATAAACAAACTATGGTACTTACACACAATGGAATACTACGAAATGATAAAGAACAATGATGAACCTGCAAAAACATCTCACAACATGGATGAATCTGGAGGGCACCATGCTGAGTGAAATAAGTCAATCACAAAAGGACAAATACTGTATGAGCCCACCATTATAAAAACTCATGAAAAGGTTTACACACAGAAGAAACAATCTTTGATGGTTATGAGGGAGGGGAGGGGTGGGGAGGGAAAAACACTAGATAATAGATGAATGCAACTTTGGTGAAGGGTAAGATAGTAAATAATTCTGGGGAAGTCAGCACAACTTGACCAAGGCAAAATCATAGAAACTTCATAAACCCAAACAAACCCGTTGCCACTGAGCTGATTCCGGCTTATAGCAACCCTATAGGACAGAGCAGAACTGCCCCATAAGGTTTTCAAGGAGCAGCTGGTGGATTTGAACTCCCAACCTTCTGGATAGCAGCCCAGCTCTTAACCACTGTGCTTCACAGACACATCCAAACACCCTGAGGGACCAAGTTACTGGGCTGAGGGCTTGGTACCATGGTCTCAGAGGGTATCTAGCTCAATTGGCATAACATAGTTTACAAAGAAAATGTCCTACATCCTACTTTGGTGAGTAGCATCTGGGGTTTTAAAAGCTTATGAGTGGCCATCTAAGATACATCTACTGGTCCCAGCCCTGTCTGGAGCAAAGCAGAATGAAGAAAACCAAAGACATAAGGGAAAGAAGAGTCCAAAGGACTAACGGACCACAATGACCACAGCCTCCACCAGACTGAGTCCAGAACAACTAGATGGTGCCCGGCTACCACTGCCGACTGCTCTGACAGGGATCAGAATACAGGGTCCTGGACAGAGTGGGAGAAAAATGCAGAACAAAATTCAAGCTCACAAGAAAAGACCAGACTGATCTGATACAGTCTGGAGGAACCCTGACCAAAGTATGGCCCCTAGACACTGTTTAACTCAGTACTGAAGTCACTCCTGAAGTTCCCTCTTCAGCCAAAGATTAGACAGGCCCATAAAACAAACAATAACACACACAGTTCAACCACGTATATGAGACTAAATGGACACACCAGCCCAAAAGCACAGACAAGAAGGCAGAAAGGGACACGAAAACTGGACAAATGGAAATGGGGAACCCGAGGTTGAGAAGAGGAGCGTGCTGACACATAGCAGGGTTGGCAACCAATGTCACAAAACGATTTGTGTATTAATCGTTTAATGAGAAATTAATTTGCTCTGTGAACTTTCACCTAAAGCACAAATAAAATAAAAATAATCTAAGAATTCCAACCTCTGATAAAAGAGAATTCCAGAGAACAGAAAAAATAGAAGGTAGGAAATTATCAGACACGTCCTAAGTAAATTTCCAGAACTGAAAGACATAAGTTTCAGATTGAAAAGACCCATCTGATGTCCACTACAACAGAAGAAAACATTCCAACACTAAGATGTGTCTTTGCAAAATTTCAGAACACCAGAGATAAAGATCTTAAAGGCTTCCAGAAACACACACACACGTCATATATGGTACAAAGATCTGGGAATCAGAGCAGTGCTGGGCTTCTCAACAGCAAACCTGGAAGCTAGGATGTGATGGAGCAATGCCTTCCAATGTCTGAGAGAAAATGCCTACAACCTAGAACTCCGTGCTCAGTCCATGAAATGGTGCCCATATCAATTAAATGTGAGGTAGAATAAAGACATCTTCAGACCTGTAGGCGCTCAAAATATTGGCCACCCACATACCCTTTCTCAGAAAGCTCTAAAGGATATGCTCCACAAAAATGAAAGAGAAAACAAAGAAAGAATCAGGCGTGGGATCCAGAAGACAGGGAATCCAGTATAGAGAATGGTGATGGGAACTATGAGATGAAGACAAGGGGCCCAGGACGAGGGCTGTGCCGGGAGCCGGGGGTGGGGGGTAAGCGGTGGGGGGTGGGAGAGGGCGGGGAGGACAGAATGTTCTAGGCCCAGGACAAGGGCTCTGCAGGGGCCCTGGAGGAGGACAGAATATTCTAGGGTAAATAGGGCAGTAGGATCTGATGGGCTTGACCATGTGGGAAAGAGGACCAAGAGGGGTTTTCCAGAGCTGTTACAGACTCTGGATAGAACCAGTGATGACTACTTAAAAAGCAGAAGGGGGAGGAAAAAAAAAAAAGAAGCACTAACTTGAAAATGAAAGTTGTACAAAAAGAGAAATGTAATCATAATAATTATAATGCACTCCTCCTGGCAGTGAACAAGTTTTACGTGGTTATTATAAACATAGATACCAAGTTAACAAAGAATTGTGATGTCTCAACTCAAG